TGCCGCCGCCGCGCCGCGCCAGGCGCCGGATGGCGGGCTTGGTGATGCCCTGGATGTTGTCGCGCAGCACCTTGCGGTGGCGCTTGGCGCCGCCCTTGCCCAGGCCCTTCCCGCCTTTGCCGCGTCCGGACATGGTAACGAACAGAAGTCAGAGGCGCTTCTTCCCGCGCTGGCGGCGGCAGCCTCTTAAATAACCAGGGGGCGGACCTGGTTTGAAACAGCCCGGAAAAGGCGGGAAACAGCCGAGTCCCCGCCCCTGCTTCAAGGAAACACGGAGTAAGGAGATTTTCTGTTATTTAGAAAATAAGAAATCCCGATCTACCGGCACTCGAACGAAATTAGCTCCTTTGTGGGTGTGTCCAGCCCATGGATATTTTTGGATCATTTCCAACACGGAATTAAAAGAAGCCCAAACCCCGAGACAAAGGAATTGGTAAATGGGTTGCCAAGCAACCCAGCCAGTCTTTGGGTCTGGAATTGGTGAAGGGCTGCTCTCAGGCTGCTACTGGCCTGTCTGTTAAGCTGAGTTTTCTTGGCCGTCTCCACGCAAAGGACACGCACTTTTCCGTAACCGAGACAGGATCATGGAACAGGCTGTAAGCCGGGACAAGCGGGACAGGGGAACCGAGACAGCGGAACGGCAGTGTGCAGCCACCTGGTGAACCCTGTCTCCCTAAACCAGGGACACTTAAGAGTAGTTTGCACTTCTTCCCAGAGGGCAGAGAGCTTAAACCACCTACTCAGGGCGACAGAGAGCAGACATCCCATCAGCGCCATTTGCCAACACGCCCAAGGACAGGTGACGCTAAGAGCATAAATCTCATTCTGGTGCGTGAGCACAAAGCTGATGGGGAGTCTCTAGAGATCCTCCCTAAGAACTTCCCTAAATGCCCAGCCTTTAAAACCCCTTCAAAACGAAGTGTGCACTCTTTTCCCCAGGAGTACGCCCCCCCACCCAACTCCCCCCCATGAAGCATCTTCTAAGCTCTAAGGAACCCCACGAGGCCCGCGACCAGGGCAGCAGCAGTTTGTCCCAGACAAAGCCCCTGAACCTGCCCCGAAGGCCCCTTCCCCCTGACTTTTAGGGAGCAAGCAGCACAGCCTGGGCTCACGTCCCCAGCCCTTCCTTGTTTCTGGGTCCCCACCTTTAATACGCCTACGTCCTCTAAAGTTCACCCGGACTCCCCTTGTGAACTGTTTCCTGCACCAAGTCTCAAACCCACACCCTACCGGCTGCCCTAGACAGACCCCTTCAGGGCCAGGCCCCCTTTCTGGTTACAGCTGATAGTTCTTTGACAATAAGTTCCTATCACCCTGACTTCTGTGTAAAATATTGATAATACAGGCAGCACAAAAGCACAATGCAGGATTCCAGGGCATGTCCAGTTTAACTGGAGCATGGGCAGTGCTTCCATTTAAACAAGTTGAGCTCATGCATTTAAACAATGGGGGTCCCGGAGGGAAAGAATGTGGATTCCAGGGGCTGATGCTGGGTTCTAAGGCCTAAGGCAGAGGGTGGAAGGGTGCTCACCCTTCCCTGGGGCTGGCTCATCCAATTCCAGGAAAGCTGTCATAAGCGCTAAAGCTAGAAGTGTGGACAAAAGGGACCACACGCTAACCTGACAAGCTCAGGGGAGGCCTGCATGGCAGTCTTGCAAATTTAGAGACCTAAAGTCACCACAAAGGATGGTCTGAAATTAAATTTTAACTAAAGCAGTGATGGTGGGCAGTTACGTCCTGGGCCGGTATCTTCACTGTCAAGGTCAACCTTTACCTTAACAGCCTGTCTGTCTTTTTGCATCTAGGATAACATACCCTTGAAATGTCTGGGTAACTTGTAACTTCCCTTTTTCTGGAGCCCCTGGGCACAACCAAATGTGCTGGGCGCCAGGACAGATGCCACCAATTCCTTCATCATCATGTTATTTGATCCTGCACCCACCTAAGTGTGTGTCCGTCATTTTACTTCTTATCCAATCCCAGGGGTTTCCTGCTTTGCTTTATTCGTCCTCCTTAATCTGTCACCAATGGATTTCATGTCACCTACCTCCGTCCCTCCTTTGATTGCAAATGTATAAATACAAATGTAACCTAATCTCAATTCGTTGAGGTTCTGCTTCCTGGCATATGTTGATAGTTTGCCTCAAATAAACTCACAAGTTTTTTTTACAGGTTTCAATGGTTTTTTTACGTTAACAGAAGGAATTGTACGCAAGTGACAGTGATAAAGGTGCAGTCATTCCTAGAGGTTTGCAATATTTTCAAAATTTTGCTGAACTACTACATGAGAGCATTAAGATATACATGAGGCCCTTAGAATACAATGTTCAAAATAAGAGACGACATTTTATTGTTTTCAAAAACAAAATTCAACTGAGTCCATTTGAAGATCTAATTGGCTTTATTAACCAATTCCTGAACCGGGCAGCAACTGACTTATAACGAACTAGAAGGGTGCTCCTAGGAGTTGTACAAAATAAATGAGTTTTCTAGGAACAGGGACAGAGCAAGCAACCATCACCAAAGGTGAAGAAAGGGCTTCTCTTTGGGGAAAGAGAATAAGCATTTTCATCCCGCAGGCTGCCTCTCCTTTCTGTGATGGAGAGGGCCCATGCGACCGATGACCGTACTGGAGCTTTACCAGAAAATTCCAGACTGGTGGTTTACAGTCACATTCCTGGGAGAGGTTGGAACTGGATTAGATCAGGTATTAAATCTAGGTTTGGGCCTGTGGTTTTTGTCCTGGTCTAACCCTTCGAACCCACCCAAGTCCCTTTTTCTCTGACTCCGCAGGTAAGAGGGTTAACTTGAAACGCAGGCAGACAGGGCAGGGGTCCGGTGGAAAACGAAGGCAGGGGGAACATAGGGGCAGACATGGCAGTTAGAGCAGCCTCACCACAGGAACCAGCCAAGCAGAAACAATATAATGTTTCTGGACTCAGCGGGAGGCATGGGAAACCAAGGGTGGGCCCGCAGCAATAAGGGGTACAAACGCATAGCAACAGTTCAGGTCGGTTGTTGGGCAAAAACAATTGAGGGAATCAAGCAGGTGGCGACAGGGGGAAGACGAAGAGCAGCTTGTAGCACATATAGACATACCGTGACCACAAGGGTTCAGCGGCAGCCCACCACCGGCCCCCTCCTCTTCCGGGGAGTCGGAGCCTACTTGTAATAACTTCCACACTCTGCTTAAATCTTCTGGTCCGAGGAGCTCATTCTACAGTGTAGAGACAGGACCGGGAAAACACCTTGGCTCGGGGTTCCGTTATCACAGGGAGCGGTCAGCAACCAAACGTGGCCCAGTTCTTTCTGGAGAGCTTGGTCTCTTCCTCCTGCTTCTTCTACTTAAAGCCCTTCCGGGTTTCCTATTCTCCACGGTTTTATTCTCAAAAACCCCTGGACCTGTGTTCTCAAACACTTCCTACACCAAGTAAAGATCCCACACACTCTAGGCGCAGGGCGGCAATTCCTGCCTGGAAATAAATTAACAGTTTGCGCACAGCTCTTGTAAGTGAAAATGTGGTGGCTCTGAAAAGAGCCTTTGGGTTTTGGCGCAAGTGGGTGGGATGGAGCTCACGCCCTCTCCCCGCGGATGCGGCGCGCGAGCTGGATGTCCTTGGGCATGATGGTGACGCGCTTGGCGTGGATGGCGCACAGGTTGGTGTCCTCGAACAGCCCCACCAGGTAGGCCTCGCACGCCTCCTGCAGCGCCATGACGGCCGAGCTCTGGAAGCGCAGGTCGGTCTTGAAGTCCTGCGCGATCTCGCGCACCAGGCGCTGGAAGGGCAGCTTGCGGATCAGCAGCTCCGTGGACTTCTGGTAGCGCCGGATCTCGCGCAGGGCCACGGTGCCGGGCCGGTAGCGGTGCGGCTTCTTCACGCCGCCCGTGGCCGGCGCGCTCTTGCGGGCGGCCTTGGTGGCCAGCTGCTTGCGGGGCGCCTTCCCGCCCGTCGACTTGCGCGCCGTCTGCTTGGTTCGAGCCATTCCTAACAGCCAGGAGCCGGGAACCACTGAGTAAGAGGGAGCGCTTTGAACGATTATTTATAATGCGGGGCCCACGCTGATTGGATAAGGCATCTGTCCATCAAGTCCCGCCGGAAGTGATTGGAAGCCGCGTCCACTTCCGCATCTCAGGAGCCTCCGGGGCGTTTGCATCAGAAATTAACTTCCTCCCACCTACCCTTTCCACAGCGGCCGTTTTCCAGTCTTTCTGGCCTCTACCCTTTTCTGCGTCTTTTCTCTACAATGTTCTTTGTTTTTTCTGCGCAGAACTTAATGTATTAAAAAATATACATTGTTTGCTAAATGAAGAATTTTAGTTTTCGCCCCGAAAACGCTTCCGTCTGATCTTTTTGAAAAAGCGCGCGCTACATGGGATTGGCCAAGCAAATGTTGAGCCTCATTCAAGTTTCGGGCGGCTAATTTCCTGTCAGTTTCTTAATTCCTCTAAATAAACTTACGTTTCTGTGGGCTTTTTTCTGTTTACCTTGATTTTACATTTGGTGTTATAGCTACAGTGACATTTACTACCCACTAACTAGCTTTCCCACACGTATCACAACCTCAACTGGGACTTGTAGCTCAGGTGGGAGGAAGTGTGGTTAAGGGAAAAGAAATCCCCAAACGTGTAAGTGGCACAGAAAAGACGACCGCGGGCTAGTCGCGCTGGGCCCGTGTTGAGAAGCTCCGCCTGTGACCCAAGTCCACGGGGAGCAGCAGGGCTTTCGTACTCACCCCGCTGGGGCCCGTGGCGTAGGAGATGGAGTAAGGGATGAGGTGTCCCATGAAGATGCAAAACTCAACAATGAAGGGCGGTTGCATTGCCGTGTTGCTTACTAACTGCATTTGTATTTAAATGGTCACCTTTCACCAAGCGTTGTTCCCATCTAGTCTTGTCCATGGTTCTGCCCTGAGTGCCTACAGTATTCGTCCCCGAATTACCCGTGATGCCCAGTGCTCCGTCACCGTTTTACTTAGTTGATGCTAAACTTTTGTTTTTATTGGGAGTAAATAGTGGCATTTCTGGGCGTGTTTGCCCACTGCCATCTATTGTCAGGCTGAGGAATTACAGCAAAGATCACTTTAAGCCTCTGCTCCGATAGGGAACGTGCCAGCGCTTTCAGTGCGAAGGTGGGTGGCTCTGAAAAGAGCCTTTGGTTTAGTTGTGTGCGTTGTTGCCATAGGAACGCAGGGTCCTTACTTGCCCTTGGCCTTGTGGTGGCTCTCGGTCTTCTTGGGCAGCAGCACGGCCTGGATGTTGGGCAGCACGCCGCCCTGCGCGATGGTCACCTTGCCCAGCAGCTTGTTGAGCTCCTCGTCGTTGCGGATGGCCAGCTGCAGGTGGCGCGGGATGATGCGCGTCTTCTTGTTGTCGCGCGCCGCGTTGCCCGCCAGCTCCAGGATCTCGGCCGTCAGGTACTCCAGCACGGCCGCCAGGTACACGGGCGCGCCCGCCCCGACGCGCTCGGCCCACGGGGAACTGCAGCCCGGCCCGCGAGGACCGCGTCTTGGCCTTGGCGCGCGCCTTGCCGCCCTGCTTCCCGCGGCCGGACATTCTGGCTACAAACTTCACTGCATTTCTTGAGAAGAGGGGAGCGCCTTCTAAGCACCAGATCGGAGAGATGGGACTAAAGGGGAAGCAAGACAAGTATTTATACTAACGGGAGGTAGCAGGCATGCACTTCCCCAGAACCAATGGGAACGTAGGGCCTGCCTCCCTCATTTGCATAGGAGGCGAGGTTTTTTTTTTCTTCTTTTTTTCTTTGCTCCATTGTAATTCGGTCTGATGAAACTTTATCTTTTTTTCTTTACTAATCATTGAATCAATTAGTTTTTTCCCCCCCGAAATACTATCCTACACGCAGTCAGGCAGGAATTATTGTCCTCAGACAATTGTTTATTCGTCTTTTGGAAAGAAATACAAGCAGGGAAATTTCTAAATAGATAACATTTAAGAGGTACATCTGAAAAAGAAAGAAAAATAGGTACTTCCATGCCACGCTCTGCTTTAACTCTTTCAGAGCTCAGAAAATAGGGAGAAAGGGAAAACAATCCTTTTGGGGGCCCCAGCTTCTTAACGGATCTGAACAATGAAACCTGCAGAGGAGGTGGCCTAAGGCAGCCGCTGTGTCTCCATGTCACTCATACTGGGTGGGAGGCGTTCAGGTTGGCCTGGAAGTGGGGAGCGTGAGCACTGCCTTCATTTTAGGAATGTGAAACGTGGACGCCCACATTGGTTATTTACTAATAATTAATGGCACCAAGGACTGTGAGCTCCTGGGTGAAAAGCCTTTGCCACCATTTCCCAGAGCCGCTCCCATCCCCGCTCCCCTTCTTTTCCCACTTTGGGCGCAACACTCAGAATGCTGGTTATTTCAGAAAGCCGCCCTCAGCCTGCATGGCCTGTGAAACTGTAGTGGTTCTCCTGTGCCTGTAATCCCTACGTTCCCAGGTCATCTTTGTCCTTCTACCCACTATAAGAAACTGGCTTACGATGGGGGCTGCGCAGACTTTTTGTCGATGGCCTGCTGCCCGCCCATACTGCTGGCATTACTGTAATAAGTGCTCATCTAAGATCCAACCCTGTCTCTTCGTAAATGGCTCCAGTAGTGACAAGCAGCTCACACCCCGTGGTTGTGCGGTTTCACTAGCTCAGTCCCGGTCGTGCACAGTCTCTGGACCTCCTGTTACCTGTCTCTTTGTGGACATTTCTTCTCTTTTCAGGATTCTCAGTCATCTTCCCTCCAAACTAAAAGCCTCCTGGTCCTCTTCATCTGGCTCCATGCACCCAGAGCCCCGCCGTTGGGTAGGGAGACGGCAGAACTTTTTATGTCTGAAAAGAGATTTGGGGATCTCGTCCAGGTCATTTGCCTGTTTTCTTTGTTGACGGAGAGCAGTAGCTCTGGAGAAGATGTGGGTGTTTATTAGGGAAGTGCGTGTATAAACCCTTTGGGGAGGACAAGGGTCTCGAGGTCTTGTTAGGTGCTTCCCCAACGGTTCTCTTGCTAAATGTTAACATGCACAACAGTATTTTGCAGACACAGCTGTAAGCAGATGAGCTCGGCTCCAACCCAAGGAGGCACCTGTAGCTGGTTGCAAAGAAGAAGTCAACATGAAATTGACCGCATGGTTTGTATAAGCCTTCTCTAGCCTCCCTTCTGGAGACAGCATTAGAGGTGAGCCCCTCCCCTTTACTTGCTGCAAGTAAATAGATGTAACGACAACCACGCCTCATTTGTGAGCAGATCACCCTAAGCAGGGAACCCCGTAGTTTGCTAACCGTTCCAGGATTTCTAAGCTGATGGGACTGACCCCTGTGTTCAAAGTTGGTGCCTGGTCAGAATCACCTGGGGAGATTAACAAATTCGTTTCTGTCTTGCCACTACTCACCACTATAGATACGGGGAGCTACCATGAAGTGTAGGCATCTGAATTAAAATATATATATTTAGTGATTTTTAGGAGAGAGGAAGAGAGGGAGGGAGAGAGAGAGAGAGAGAGATAGAGAGAGAGAGAGAGAGAGAGAGAGAGAGAGAGAGAGAGAGAGATGAGAA